AGCTGGGCGCAGGACTCCCGGGGGGGTCTCAGCAGAGTGGGGCAGAGGGGCAGAATCCCCCCCTTCGCCCTGTTGCCTACGCTGCTGGGCATGCAGCCCAGGGCATGGTTGGCCTGCTGGGCTGAATTCCAGCCCTATCACCGATGTCCCCATTTATCGTGGAAGTTGTAAGTTCCTGCTTCGTTAGCAGATCTGATTTAAAAGCTTTCAACCGCAGCTCTTTGTTCTTCCCCACTCCCCCATCCAATGGGAATCTGTGATACTGATTCAATTTTTTGGTCCTGGTCCTCAGAAACTGAAGTAAGAGTCAAGAAGATAAAAAGTAAGTTTTACTCCTCCTTCCTCCCAGCAAACAGGGCCTCTTGGGTCAGATTTGCTGCAGGTATAATAGCAACAGCCTCAACAACCCAAGAAACAACTGGTTTCTTCAGGGCTTTTGTCTGCCTGCCACGTGGGTAACACGTAAGCAAATGATGAGGGAATGAGAATTTGGAATAAAAAATTAAGCCTAGTTCACAGACAGGCAGCAGGCCTGGTTAATGTTGATCTCTCCTCTTGGAGAGGCAGATTTCTGTGTACCACCTTGTGAAAGAAAGCAAAGATTCTTCCCAGCCTGCAAATTAAAACCCAGGGAGGTCATTTCGAAGCTGAGCTAAGACAAATACAAAGGCAGCATCGCAGTCCTCGTAATTCCAGGCTGTGCCAGCGTCTTGCTGACATCAGGGGGAGCAGAGGGAGGCAGAGATCTCCTGAGCTGTGCGCAGATGGGTGTGCGAGCCTGGTTTTCTTTGATAGGCCCGCGGTACCCTTCCATCCACGGATTAGAAACGGGGAGCTACGTGTTTGCTAGCGCACGTCCCGGCCCTCGGACAAAGTCTAATTTGCATTGAACATTGATGCTGCTCTGAGGCACCGTGTAGAAACGGAGCTGCAGGAAACACGGAGCTTCAGGCTCAGCTCTACCTCATCGTCCACAGCAGATGCGTGTCTAATCTCTTTGTGAAAATCTCCATCGTTGGAGATGTTATCGCCCTTGTCGTCGCTCTCTTGCTGTCATTATCTGCCCTTACAACTGGAGCACTTCTCCTAAAGTCTAAGCCACATCTCTCTCCCTGTGGTTTAGGCCCCTGAGTCCTTATTCATTGCACAGTGGGAAGTTTTTGCGCCGCAGCTTTTCCTGAATGAGGAATGGAGGGGTCATTTTTTGTCTCCCAGCTGACGTCTGTGGGTTGGTGAAGAGGTGATAAACCCTCTCTGTGCTAGAGAAGTGTTCGTCTTTTCTGGGAAAGCTCAGTGGTTTCTGTCCGAGCCGCATGCGCAGCCAGTGTTTGATGATTGGGTGAAGTTTATAAACGGATAAAATGGAGAATGCAGCTCCCACTTGCAGCTGTTAAACTATTATTGTTATATAGCGTGGTAATTAAGGAAAATAGGGGTTGGTGCTGGTGAGGTCAGTGATATTAGTCACTTTAGTAACACCAAACACAGGAAACATCTGTGGCTTCACCACCCTGAGTTGCCCGCGCTTTGCCTTGCGAGTAAACCTTCAGCTAACGCCCGCCTCCTGGAATCACAGAATTAAGGTTGGAAAGACCTCTAAGATCAT